AACTAAGCAGAGTCCAGGAAAAAATAGGAACTCTCACAGGCTGAAGATCAAAGGCTTGTTCACAAATTTTTGGCCTGAGGAGGAAAGCTTTTGCTCAGTCAGAATAATGTAGACATTCATATTATGCCAAGATGCCAACCATTCTGGATTTTGCAGAATTATTACAAATTGTTTTAAAATTCCACATTCTGGATCATGTTAATGAAATTCTTTGCATAAATATTTTGAATAAGGGTTTTCCTTGCGAACACAGTTAGGGAGAAAAGTCTTCAGTACCATTATGATCCAATGGAGTTAGATTTTTGAATGTAAAAAACAATGTTGACAACATGAATCCCATCAGTAGACTGAAAATAGATTCAAACTTGTGAATGAAGAGAAAAAAGAAGATTTAGATAATTCAAAAGAAAAACTGTTTATCTTTATTAATTTTGCAAAAATATTGAAAGAATTCAAGGTTCTGCAAGTGGATAAATATAGATACCATTTATTCTCATTAAACCATAATTGTTACTGTGTACATAAGTGTATTGACTCAAAAGAAGTTTGAGTAAGAATGTATTGAAATTATTCCTTTTGATAGATCATTATCAGTTAAGGACTGGTTGCCTAGATTCTGACAAATTGGTGTTAAGATTCCTGATAAGCATCCTTGTGAGCCAGCATCTCTGTAAGCTAGGAGCTTATAATTCAAGCCCTTACCTTAACAGATTTATTTCAATGAAATATTATTATTTATGTAAATATCAGTGTATACTTGATATTAATAGTACTACTAATATTAGATTACTGTCTATGCTCGTTTATAAATCAAATAGAGCTGCAAACTGAACAGACACAGGCCTGCCATTTCATTCCTCCAACAGCTCTGGGTGGGTCAGCTTGTTAGAAGGAATCAGTATTGTATCCTTAAATAAAATTTGCTATTCAGCTCACAGTTGTTTAAAACATAGAACATAATAGATCCACTTGTGTTATGTATATTTGCATGTTTTTGTATTTTTTCTATAGGGAGCTGAAGTGGATCAGTGGTTTAGAGTGCCAAACTCTGAACCGAAAGGACATTGGCTAGAATAGACCAAGTTTACAGCTTTGATTTGTCCCTCGGCATACAGTTTGATTCCAGTTGCCTAGGCATAATAGAACATTTATGTGTTTGCACAAAAGATCACAAGGGCAGAGGATATGTTGTCCCCAAAGGATACTGTGTCCCCCACCCACCACATTGCCCTATTAAGGTTACACAAAATATCTTTGAGGGACATAAGAAACTAATAGTATATAAGCACTAACATTACTGTTAAATTAGATGGTCTTGTTTGTTTCAATAGTTTGTCACCTTAAGTTTGTTGTCTGCACTGTATTATCATGCTTTTGCTGGATACTTGCAATATTGCGATAAAATTTTGTATTTATTTAATTTTAATTTAGTCTCTTTTGTCATTATTTCAGCCATAAAATAAATTACATCTTTCTCTGCTCCTGTGACCTGGTGGTTAGAGCACCCAACTTGGATGCAAGAGGTTGTGGGTTTAAGCCCTGGCTGAGTAATACCACAGACTTATAAAATGGTACCAACAGCTGCCTTTCTAGGTGCTCAGCATTAAGAGTTTAGTGTTAGGACTGGTTGTTCTGGTGTCAGAATAATGTGACTGGGTGGGACATGATGTTTATATATCTGTGGCATTTTGCCACAGTGTTAGACATCACTATAAACTGCCACACTGCAGACATTATAGCAGTATGACTGAAAAATTGTTAAAGCTACATTAAAAATCCCAAACACACACACTCCATGCTGTAAGAGTGACTTTAACCTCAAGAATATGTAGCACTAACTTGCCATCAAACACATTACATTGCATCTCATCTATTATTTTTCAAAAGCATATGTTTTGGGGTGGGGTGGGAGCACACAATATCAAGTATTGGGGGAAATAGAACAAAAAGAAACGCTTGAAACCCATTAGACTGCACTCAGTGGGCAATATTGTGTTGGTGTACTGTCAAACACCAGTCAAAAAAATTTTTGTGATATTTAGGGCCAAGTTAACATTGATGCTATGTTATGGCATTGTGTTGTGATTTATTACAAGCAGTATGATTGGATGCATCCAGTTAGTGCTCAGAGAAATCCAATGGCAGAAAAATAAACACAGACACATGTTTGTGTGTAGCATTGATTATGCCTTTTTCATTCTGAAATTGTATTTGAATATTCACATCACTCTACCGATAGATGCTTTCAGTATGTGCATCGACTCACTACATGATCAGTGCAATCACTCACTGATAGTACATATCAACAAATCATTTTCTTTGATAAACTAATGAAATACATCAATACAAAACTTTACCATTGCATCTGTTAATCAGTACAGAGATGCACAAATTTACAATTGACAGTATTTTGTATGCCCCACCTTGATAGTCGTATGGCCAATTTGTACTCAACATTTTGTTTTATATTCCTCATACAGATAGTGGAGTGGCCAATTTTTAATTGATGCTGTTTTTTTATGCCCCACTATGACAGTGCTATAGCCAGTTTATAATTGACCTTTTTTCTTGCTTTACCCCAGACTTTGTTTTTCATGCCTCACCCAGACAGTGTGGTAGGGGCTCATGGTGTTACCTTTGTCAATTCATCCATCAGACCTTGGTTAAATTTTGCATCCTATTGCTGTAACAGATTTCGAGTTAGAGTTAAACTTCATTCACAATTTGGTAAATGTATTTACACAATATCATGGCAGTGTTTACACTTACTTACAGATCTCACCACTTTTCATCATTTTACCCTTCTGGCCATTCTTCTATGTATTCTGCAGATGTGTTTACTTTATTCACTCTTTCATTTGATGTGGTCGACACGAGGCCAGTTTGTCTAGCCATATCACTTTGCATCCATACAGCATGCACTGAGAGTGATTCAAATAATTTCAATTATTGTTGTACGTAATGTTGACTTTATTCTGCTAATAGGTTTTCAGTCACCACTCTGCCAATTACTACTTTCAGTGCAGCCAAATTCTATACTGTTGTATTCTATCAATCAATGTGCAGTCAATCAAGCAAGTTTTTTAACCTGACAGATGACATCACACTAGTTCAACCTGGCAGATGTATATCTGTAGTTCTTGAAGTTCAATCCTTAATTTTAGCCACCTGTCCATGTTTGCCATGCGAACACTGACTGCTGGTCTTTTGAAGATACTCCAGATATACACCTGGCTCTTTCTAGAAACACTTTGTCTATTTAGCTGGCATATATCATTACTAGTATTAGATAATGTATGTTATTTAGATTATTCATAATTCTCATTGCTTTATTTTTATTTCTCAACACCTCATCACAACATTGACAATAATTGCCACATTGATGTTAAATACCACAATGTTGACAATAATTACCACATTAATTACAGATGCTTAAAATGGGTAGTATACTAAAAAACTTCAATGATTGAATTGAAGAACGTAATGAATAGAACTCTCTCATGCATTAAAAACTAGGTAAAGTCAACAGTTATCCCATATTCTTCAGGGGTCACAGTACCAGGCAAAGTGGGCGAATAAGTTGCCTAAAAGAATGCAAACTTCTTGTGTTAGGAAAGTAAAAATGACTTTACCCTGAAATTTTTTAGAGGAAAATTGAATGACTGTTCCTTTTTGAATGCTCCTTCACCATAGCCAGGTTACTTTCAGTGTTATAGCTCAAGGCCAGGTTACTTTCAGTGTTATGTTTTAGCTCAAGGCCAGGTTACTTTCATTGTTATGTTATAGCTCAAGACCAGGCTAGTTCCAGTGTTATAGCTCAAGGCCAGGCTAGTTCCAGTGTTATAGCTCAAGGCCAGGCTAGTTCCAGTGTTATAGCTCAAGGCCAGGCTAGTTCCAGTGTTATGTTAAAGCTCAAGGCCAGGATAGTTCCAGTGTTATGTTATAGCTCAAGTCCAGGTTAGTTTCAGTATTATGTTATGGCTCAAGGACAGGTTACTTTTAGTGTTATGTTATAGCTCAAAGCCAGGTTGCTTTCAGTGTTATGTTTTAGCTCAAGGTCGGGTTGCTTTCAGTGTTATGTTATAGCTCAAGGCCAGGCTAGTTCCAGTGTTATAGCTCAAGGCCAGGCTAGTTCCAGTGTTATAGCTCAAGGCCAGCTAGTTCCAGTGTTATAGCTCAAGGCCAGGCTAGTTCCAGTGTTATAGCTCAAGGCCAGGCTAGTTCCAGCATTATAGCTCAAGGCCAGGTTACTTTCAGTGTTATGTTATAGCTCAAGGCCAGGCTAGTTCCAGTGTTATAGCTCAAGGCCAGGCTATTTCCAGTGTTATAGCTCAAGGCCAGGCTAGTTCCAGTGTTATAGCTCAAGGCCAGGCTAGTTCCAGTGTTATAGCTCAAGGCCAGGTTAGTTTCAGTGTTATGTTAAAGCTCAAGGCCAGGATAGTTTCAGTATTATAGCTCAAGTCCAGGTTACTTTCAGCGTTATGTTCTACCTCAAGACCAGGTTAGTTCCAGTGTTGTGTTATAGCTCAAGGCCAGGTTACTTTTAGTGTTAGGTTTTAGCTCAAGGTCGGGTTGCTTTCAGTGTTACGTTATAGCTCAAGGCCAGGTTGCTTTCAGTGTTATGTTATAGCTCAAGGTCAGGTTAGTTTCAGTGTTATGTTATAGCTCAAGGCCAGGTTAGTTTCAGTGTTATGTTAGAGCTCAAGGCCAGGATAGTTTTAGTGTTATGTTATAGCTCAAGGCTATGTTACTTTCAGTGTTATATTATAGCTCAAGGATATGTTACTTTCAGTGTTATGTTATAGCTCAAGTCTAGGTTAGTTTCAGTGTTACAGTTTATAGTAATGTCTAGCACTGGGGCATCATGCCGCAGACATGTAGCATGATGTCCCATCCAGTCACATTTTCCTGACACCAGGCCGACCACTCCTAACACTAACCTCTTAATGCTGAGCGTCAAGTGAGGCAGCTGTTAGCACCTTTTTTGTATGTCTTTGGTATGACTCAACAGGGAATTGAACCCACGACCTGCCGCATCCGAGGCGGACACTAACCACTAGGCCACTGGAGCGGTGGTTTAAGGTGAAGTTGTTTGCATTGGCAACATGCCTCTATGCTATTTTCCTACACTGCGGCAGAAATTTCTTTGGACATTGTACTTGTGGAAATTGTACCTGCTATAAGCACACAACTAATCAAAAGGACTGCTCCCATGTACTTGAAAATTAACCTGAATTAATCTAAAGTACACTATTCTTAGCTATTATTAAAATGGGGAAAATTAACTTTCCCAGAGTATATAATACCAGCCTCTGAATGTAAATGAATGAATTACCAAAAAATATATACATGTGAAAAAGTAGGTCTTTTCTCACAATTCACCTCAGAAAAGTCCAGGAAGTGAAAATGACCAAGCGGAGCTAGCAGTTCTTTGATAGGTATACATCTGAAGGAAGGCTAAGCTGTATATTCTAAAAACCAAAATTACAGATACGAGTCATACACCAACATAAATGAAATTAAAAGTTCTTTTTACAATACCTAATATAAGTTCTTTTCTTTACAGTTATAACCCTATGCAAAATATAAAACTGTAGAGCGTCACCTTAAGGATTTTATTGCAATCGGTAAAGATTACCTAAATTTACCTTGCGTCTCTTAGATAATATTTACAAGTTGGTAGACTTTCTTTAAAATTAGTAAGTTATTTGCAACTTTCTCATAGATCTAATTATGATAAAGACTTTACTAATATTAACAAATTAGGTAGACAGACAAGCGTTTCACGCGACATCTAGGTTGTTCAAAAACTTGGCGTCTCACCATATCTTTCACCTAGATGAGAAGGCATAAAGGAACCAAGTATGAGAATTGGTATGCAATATTGCCAAGGTCAAGACGAGAAGGTGAAAACCCAAATCTAGTTGATCCCATATGTAAATGGTGCCGATCTAACATCCAAAATGGCAGTCACTTTGAAAATTGTGTTCTTGGTATTTATTTTGAACGGATAGTCGTATTGACATGGTATTTTCATTACAAGACTTTTTGTTGTCTCGTTTGCCCAAATTAGAAGTCATGGTGCCTCTGCCACAGTGGCCATCGCGAAAAATCTTATCATTACTCTTGGATGGATTGTCTCGATATGACAGAGTTTTCACTGAAAGACGCAAGATATCTGTTTGGTACTATATGAAGATGGCATATAGCTCTGACCGCCAAATAATCACCAAATATTCATATCACTGCTTCTTAATGACTGTCAAGAGCTACACGGTTTTTTTCAGCAAGAAGCCCATCTTGTCTGGCTGGTCTTAAATGAAATTTGTGACGTAGATAATAACCGAGATGACAGCCAGGTTGAGTTTTTAATGGCTACTGCTTGTAAATGGATGGCTGTGACAACATGAGGTGTTTCACTAAAGGACCACTTACGATGACATTTTGATCTTGAATGAGAAAGGTACCAACTGGACTTGCAATATGGCAACCTTGGTGGCCATTTTGAAAATCGTTTTATAGCTACATTTTTTAAACGTAGTTTTACTAACATAGCAATTTAACATAAAACTTGTTACAATATCTGGCCCTAAAAAAACAGAGCCAACCAGGCATCTGTGTTCTGAACTTGTCAATTCAAAAAGAAGAAAATAGTTTTGCTACCAAATTTAGGGATATTGGAATTTTCCAGACAAGGAGATGGTTTGTTTGAAAGATTTAACTGGGAATCAAGGAAAGTCTTATTAGTAAAGAAAGTGACATTTCAAAGAACCAAAATATTAAATAAATGGTTAAAATAGCAAACAACAATTTGAAAGAAGTGTTTTGGAGAGGAGAGTCGAGAAGGGCACTGAGGGTAGGGGACCTCCATTTTTGTATGGCTGTCGCTTTGTATTTTGTTCTTGTTCCTGACAGTTTTAATGGAACTTCTAGTATATTACTGCTTATGTCGTGCTGAGGCAATAGGAACTAAATGACGTTCCAAAGGACATCATGATACAGGCAACACAGACTTGCATGGGTGGGTAGCTAATTTGTGACTTCTGTATTACGAAAACAATGTTCTGCCAGCTGACCTACTGCGTCCAGCTGATGCACTTACATGTTGGCAGCATTTAAAAATGCATTAATTAAACTTACTGTGCATGTGTCCATAATAATCTGTTGTAAAGCATCATCGAAACTATAGGAAGGATAAATACATCCAACACGCTGCCAAAACATACACTCAACTCTCATAGATAAATCAGCGCTGTATGGAGGATGTAGCAAAATTCGAAAGCAATGCGCCATCAAAAGGTTTGTAGCGACATCGTATTTATGCGCAGAAGAGTTACCGCGTATTTATGCGCAGATCAGATATTGAGTAGACGGACACATTAGTTTTCAGTGTTCGGATTGGCTACTTCGTTAATGTTCTACAGATTTTTGCAATACGTTGGAGCCACAAAAATGTCCAGCGACAATAACAGGCAAGGCTCAGGTTCTGGAATGATGTTCGTTTGCATCGAAAAATAATGCATGCATAACTCTCTTGATATTCCGTGTACTGTATCTTGAGCGATTTGTGCTCTATGCTCGTTTTCTCCGATCCACACTATATTATTTTACCTCTTGAGTCGGGTTCACAAAGCTGAATATATGTTTCTTCACACTACAATTTCATTCAAACATTTTTAGTCACTTTTTCATGTCTGGCGAGTATCTGTTTGACAAATTCAACCCGTATTTGATTTTGTTGAGCTATGAACTAATGTGGGACCCAGATTTTCAGCTGTTTGTCAAAACTTTCTGAGATTCAGATGATTCTTCAGTCATTTAAAACCGCTGAAGAATTAATGCCGGTCATGGTGAAAATATCTTGCATATAAGCGTCTCTCTCTCTCTCTCTCTCTCTCTCTCTCTCTCTCTCTCTCTCTCTCTCTCTCTCTCTCTCTCTCTCTCTCTCTCTCTCTCTCTCTCTCAAATTCGTTTTTTTTAAGAACATTTTTTTTAAATGAAAGAAGTATTCTAAATGTAAAGTATTATTCTTTAGTTCGTTTTGTCTTCTTTTGAAGCACAGACATACAATTCTATGAAAGCAAGGAGATTCCAGAGAATAAAGCGCCCATCTCGCTTTTAAGCAGTGTCCTAGGTCACATAATGTTAACCATAGTAACCATACAACCTGTTCACATTCCAAGTTAAATTGCATTTATATGTATTTATAATGAAAGCAGATTACATAGTCAAAGGAATCACATCGTTTATATTGTGTCGGAGATAATAAACGATTCCTTCATTAATAAGGTAAGTATCGCTTTGCATTTCTATTGACTGCAGTAGATGTCGGGAAGCAGATGTTATTTAAAATCATTATAATTATTTAAAGAATCCTCATTTTATCCCTGTCAACAGTTAATAATTGTTTTTTGGAATCTTCGTGTTACAATAGCATGGAAGATTCTGCTTCTGATGTATAGTTGACATGAACATTCGCTTATTGCAGCACAAGTGTATCTATTTCTTTTGTATTACGTGAATATGAGCGTCTAAAAGTTGGACGGATAATGTCATAACATTTTAACGGTTTTAGGTTTTCATGAAACCCTGCGCAAGTATATATTATGACTTGACGGTATTTCGCCTTTTACGATTTTTGTGGTCTTTAAGTAACATAAGAGAGCAGAAACCAAATTTAGTCAAATTCAACAAATTATTTATTACACTAGATACAAAGTGAAATTTTAGAAAGAACATACACTATTGGGAATTAAATCCCAAATAGTCTTAAAAGTTCTATCTGAAGTCCAAAATTATAGACTTTACCGAATGAATTTCAATGGTATTCCAAATGAATTCCAATCTCGAATGTGCTGAAGTACCAACAGCCTCAAATGATATGCTAAGAGTGTGCTTTTTACTGGAAACTATTCCGGAAAGAAAATGATTTTTACTATGCAAAAATTGGTTAAAAAATTATTAATTATTTCGAGATACATTTCTTTGTGGTTGCAAAGGTAGTGTGGCAGAAGTGCACATGGAAAATTAGTGTGTGATGCGGTCGCAACCTTTGCTTTGATGGTTGATATTTTATTTGATAACGATATTTCTTCTATAAATAAAACAGTAAAAATAAAAACTATTTATAAATCATAATAATCAAATATTTTTATAGAACATATATTCACAACACAACCCCATGTGAAGTCCTTGCTTGCCATATGACATTCTAGCAAGTTCAGTGGCATTTGAATTAATCCCCATATGACCCCCTATGTTTCCATGTGACACTTTAGAAGTATCGGAGGAAATTCGAAAGACGAAACAAGATGCATTTCTTTGTGCTTGCAAAAGTAGTGTGGCTGCAATGCTCATGGAAAATCAGTGTGTGATGTGGTCGCAACCTTTGCATTGATTGACCAGGAAGCAGAACTGATCTTTAGGTGCGGTTGATAAGCATTTAAGCGTAAACATGCTTTGCTATCTTTCCATGTTCTCTACTGCCTTTTGGTGTATAATAGTATATATTGACACTCTCATCTCTTGGAACCCAAGTATAATTTAAACGTTGCTCCGAGTTAAGTTGGAGAAATGTGTGTTACATAGTACATTATATGTAATAAAATGAACGTGGTTTGATGAGAGCTTGATACGTTTTACCTGTGCGGGATTGTTGCTAACATTAGTTACCTAAATGTTCATATGCAGGAGCTTTGAAAATCTCGTTGCTTACGCGATATTTCAGGCATTTTGCATCTTGATAGCTTTATTAAAGAACCTACAAGTTTTAGGAATGGGAATGGCTGGAATCCATCTTTTGTTGATTAAATACAAGTCACTAATATCATTGTATGAATGCCCACCTTAACTCTGTTGAAATTAGTAATTTTCATTATGCGACTTTTGCTTAGCTATGATGCACCTTGTATTTTGCAATCAGAATTTTAAAAATCTTTTCGAGGTATGGCAGATTTTGTTTTGTGAATGATTTTCAAAATGTGTTCTTTGCTGTATTGTGTACATCTTATAATCTGTAAAAGCTGTCTACAATAACGTTGAAAAAAATTCTGTCGAACAGTATATACAAAC